CTCAAGCCTTTCAATCTGAATAGAACGGTATCAATCTTGTTTTCGCAACTGAATGCACGGAACAATTAGGTAAAAAACAAAGGGTGTACGGGCTTCTTACCCTGTCTGATGGTATTCTAGGGTCCAGATAAATAGTGGCAAATTACCTGGGCGTAACAACTTTTACTGCAACTTTATTCCCTCTGGAACAAGAGTTCTTGGATGTAGGCTAATCTTCTTCAATAAGAGGGAAAGAACCCTGGTTTTCAAAAGTTAGAACGTCTACAAATTAAATATCTCGGTGCAATTTTGTTGAGTGTGTCGTTCTGCTATCCCCATCTTCCTTTCCACACTTGCCAAATGGGACTAATTAAGACTGGAATTGGTTAAAACAACCATTTTGCATTTGATTGTTATCCTGATCGAAGGAATTTTCATCAGGACGGTTATGCGTCCATTCCTGGGCGTTGGCAGGCCCTTCACTTGACAGGAATGACTCACTTCCCCTGTTGAGTCATCAGGACAAGCATCTGGCGCCACTCCATTTATGCCTACCAAAAGTAACTGGCGTTGTGCATAAGTGCGGTCTTGCGGTATCTAATTTCACTCGACAAAAGAGTAGGGTTAGGAGGACGAAGATTTATGCGTTTTGCAACTTTTCCGCTGTAAACTTATTCTTGTTCGTGGTCGACGAGGCGATTTGGGTAAGTTGAACCACTCAATCACCTGCTCTCCGTTGGATGTGGCACGGAGTCCTGGGGTTTATTTGGCCTCGATTGCATCGCACGACCAGTTCCAGGAAGCCACATGGGGTTCTGAATTTTTTGCTCTTGCCTCAATCACAACATCACAATTGCATTCGTTCCAATAGGCACTAGAGAGGTGTCGCTTGTATTCTCATTATGCTCAATTCGTCTTCCGCTCATTTTACTGTGGATGATGGATGGAGCCATTGGGACCGAATAAATTGCAAACACGCTACTATACTGATCCACTCACTCATCAGATCTCTGGCGGTTCTTGTCCCTCCCCTCGCATTACCCATAATCGGCCCACTGATGCCAGGACTATAAAAATAGCCGACTGGTACATACATTCTTGCATGTGTTTTGGGAAAATAAATCGCTTTAAATTGGGCGTTTTTGGTACAACAAAATTATACGAACTGACATCCTCGCAAAACTTTGAATTCCAATGATCCTGATTCTGACATTTGTCTAACCGTAAGTGATCTGTCCGCATTCATCACGTGCCCCTTGGAGGTGGAGCGACAAGATGGAGATTGCCATTCTTGTGTAGAAGAGTTTCGACTCATTGGATGGTGTATTTCCATTTTGGTTGCTGATCTGATCGTGCCTGGTTTGAGGCTCTCCCGAGTGTTAGATTTCCACACACGTCTAAGTTCGGTTTACGGGTGGACTGGTGTCTTTCTCCAGTCCCACTTGTCAGTGTTATTATGGCAACTAGGATGACCAGTTCTATAGGTACTGGTCCGAAGTTTGAAGCAGCCGTCGCATCCCTATGCACAGGCGCATTTCGCGATGCATCTCTATGTACCTGGCAGATTTCGTCATTTTCACGCCTTCACTCCCCTACGAGTGATCCGTTCGAAGTTTTATCATTATCAGCTTGATCTTGAGGTGGCTAAACGGCGTTCAAGCAGGAAAACTCTATTCATTCCGTTTCAAAAAAA